TTTTAAGGCCTTGATGTATAATATAAAATCATTTTTTCCTTCTGAGTTTGCATGTTCAGTCATTCCAAGTATTACTGAGCAGTCAGGTAGTCAACCTGTACATAATTATGATACATTATACCAATTGTGCCTTGTAGAGTTCAAATTCACAGGTTGAAAATAGACGGCGCCTCTTGCAAGCACAGGAATCTGAACTTTTGGTGAGATATCATGCTGCTATGTATATTATATTTAGATTTAACAGTTACCATCATCCACTCACGGTTTCATTTCAATTCATGATTATTTATTTTTCTTGTTTATATCAATTATTACCAGTTACATTATGAATTTTATTCTGTGTTTCTGAAATCCACATTACCATACAAGGTCTGTTGTAGATTGATATTAATGGTTTATTTTCCTCTTGGTAATTTACTTGGTTTATATGTGTTCTGTTTTTGTATCCAATTGTAATTAAATGGCTTATTTTGCAGGAGCTGAAGTCTATGTTTCAAGAGGTTAAAATTGACTTTAGGACTTTGAAGACCCAGTTTCAAGATGATATCATTAAATTAGGTGCAATCTTTGAACCTAGTCATTTTTTGGTATCCGAGAAAATGACATCAAACATTAATGATGTGGAATAACAATGCAACTTAAACTTACAGGTGATAATGTACAAGGGCTTTCCAAAGCAGCTCTTGGTTATAACCAAGCTGTGAAAGAAAACAAAAGCTTGTATAACTTGCTTCAAGAATTGCGAGGTATCACATGGTATAGTCCATTTTTGGCCATTAATGTTATTATTGGAATAATTTCTGGGAACTCCTTTTCAGGAAATATTCGAGTATTCTGCCGGATAAGACCACTTATTAACTCAGAGTCAATTTCTTCGATTGAACATATTGGAAATGATGGCTCAATAATGGTCTGTGATCCACTTAAGCCGCAAACTACACGTAAGATATTCCAGTTCAACAAAATTTTTGGGCCAACAACTACTCAAGGTAACATGGGTGTAAACTGTACAAAGAGGTATCAGCCATTATCCGTTTGTTTTGTCTTCATATTGTTTTTCTTTTACAGATGAGGTTTATAAGGAGACACAATATTTGATTAGATCGGTAATGGATGGCTATAACGTATGCATATTTGCTTACGGGCAGACAGGTTCCGGAAAAACTCATACAATGGTATAAAATAAACCATATTTTGTACAGTTGCTCCTTATTTGCTTAACAACTTATTTGATCACATCTAATTGTTCTTTTATGGTGCATATGATGATTAGTGTGGTCCATCTGGTGGGTTGTCATCTCAAGATTTGGGAATCAGTTATATGGCTCTGAACGATCTCTTCAAGACATCAACTTCTAGGGAAGATGTAAAGTATGATATACATGTACAGATGGTTGAAATATACAATGAGCAAGTTCGTGACCTTTTAAATGAAGACACTTCAAGCACTAAATATCCTTTTATGCCTTTATGCTATTATTGCTAGTTTCTTTCTAGTACTATCAAATTTGCTATGGTGCACAAGGGAGTTTTACTTGTGTCGAAAATTTGTTGGTGTTAGTCCCTGACATTGATTTTACGTTAGATATAAGGACTTCAAGCAACGGTCTGTTGAACCTTCCAGATGCAAAAAAGTGCCCAGTGCAGTCTCCCTCTGACGTTATCAATTTGATGCTTCTGGGTGAAAAGCACCGGGCTTCCAGTCCAACAGCAATGAACCATAGAAGCAGTCGTTCCCATAGGTTTTTATCAGCATATATCTTTTTGCTAGTTATCCTTTTGGTTTGCTGTCTTTCTAATATTTTTTTTGCAATTGACATTTTAATCTTTTTTTTTCTGCAGTATCTTGACTGTCCATGTTAATGGGAAGGACATGTCTGGTAATGTAACCCGTAGCAGTTTGCATTTGGTAGATCTTGCAGGAAGTGAAAGAGTTGATAGGTCGGAAGCCACAGGAGACAGGTTGAAGGAGGCTCAGCACATTAACAAGTCACTTTCCTGCCTGGGAGATGTTATCACGGCCTTAGCTCAGAAGAATTCTCACATTCCCTACAGAAATAGCAAACTCACCCAATTGCTGCAGAGTTCATTAGGTATATATTTCTCCCTTTAAACATGTTTGCACCAATTATTTTAGCTATGGATACCAATATGACTGATCAACATGTTGATCCGTCCCTCTTGATGGTATATGCCTTTATCTTGAATTATCTCACACTTTATTAGCATCATAATACAAGTTCCAGCAATAACACCGATCAACTGTTCGCCAACAATAGGGGGAAACGCGAAGACGCTAATGTTTGCCCACATAAGTCCGGAGGCAGATTCATATGTAGAAACTCTTAGCACATTGAAATTTGCTCAAAGGGCTTCTTGCGTTGAACTTGGAACTGCACATGCAAACAAAGAAAGCAATGAAATAAGGGAGCTTAAAGAGCAGGTACATTTTTTCTGTTACCACATAAATGTTTCTTTAAGCACATGAATGCTAGATTTGCTACAATGAATAATATAATGTGATCGTCCTATTAAGAAGTTGTAATGCAGTAAAATTATTGTTTTGATTGAAATGCTGGACTGAAGTTTGTTTTCTCCCAACAAAATGTTTACATTTATCTTTGTGGAACAAATGTATATATATTTTTTACTGTTCCACATACTATCTGACCTTTTTTTTTCATTCGTTCTACAAACAGAAGAAAATACATCTAATGTACAACCTATTTTCAGGTAGAAAATCTCAAGAGGGCACTTGCAGCCAAAGAGCTGGAAAAATCATCATTTAAACTAAAGGAAAATACAGTGGTGAGGGAGAGAGCAAAACAAGTACCGGAGCGCACCCCACCAAGGCCACGTAGGTTAAGCCTAGAGAATACTGGTATTGGCAAAGGTAGCATACCTGACAGAAAGGGACCAAAGTCCCCTCTTTCAGTGACAAAGTTGAACAGAGATCATGCTACAATTCATGACAGCATTGATGGCTTCAATCACCACATCATGCACCAAGGATCAGTAATGCAGGTACTCTTGCTCTTATATCTCAATAGCTTCATATTGTCTAATGTTGTAGCAACTGACCCGTTGCCTTTCTTCACCAATTGTAAATAGATGTCTGCAACATCCTCTGAAGATCCAGTTAGAGAGGAGACCGAGAAAATAATTACTACAGTGGACACAGTTCCCTTTTGTGGACTACACCCTGATGCTTATATTTCGTCCAAGCAATCAGGATTGGATACTCTCCTGAGAACACCTTGTAGATCAAGGAACTTGAACTTGGAAGTTGGTCAGACCGATGAACCTTCTTCTTCTGCCAAATTGGAGAAAATGACCTCGAGTAATGCAACGAAGAAAGGATCACATCTAAGAAAATCCATTCAAAGCAGCATAGGAAAATTGATCCATGGCTCTGAAAGAAGGTGGGTATAGCATGCTCTTCAGTATGTTCTTATCACAAACCAACATACAGTGTTTCGTATGTGTTGAATCTTTCTCTGCTGTTTGTAAATATGTTGCAGGAATGTTCAACATTTAGGACAAGCAACTCCTGCTAAAATTGCTAATAGCACAAACAATGATGTCCCATCTTCAATTACACCTGATTTAAGGTTAAGGAGAAGACAATCACTAACAGGTCTCCCACCACCACCATCGACCATGTCACGTAGATCATCTCTAGGAGGGAAGTCAGATATAGGTAAGTTTTTCTGAACCAAGAAAATTCTAATTTTCTCTGCTTCAAATCCTTAAAATCGTGATGACAAAGGCTGTCTTGTCATTTGATGGAAGGTGCTAAAAATAGCCCAATCAGTGCATGTGCTGCCAGCGAGTACAAGCCACTGCCATTCTCCTGGGTCAGATGGCCTGAACAATATCAATGTGAATTCTCTAATCTTTCTTGACCGATCCTTAGCTTCCCATGCCACTATTACCTGCTTGCTTTGCCGTTTCCCAAAAATATAGTAATGCTTGAATCTTGATAGACATACCGGAGTGCAACCCAAGGCCACATCATTAACATCCGTGATTCTTGCCATTACCCTTTGAGCCTATATGTGTCTTCCTGAAAATATTGTTAGCTCGTAATGGATGCTTTAGACTGTATTTTATTCATTCCGAACTGCATTCTTAAGAGGAAAATTCTGTCAAACAAAAGACCCATCTGATTTGTTTTACTTTAGATCCTTCTGCCCCCTGTTAAAACAAAGGAGGTTTTGTGTGATGAATGATGATCCTCAGTTCTTACTGAAGAACAATTTGTTTGGTTTGCAGGTAGCGATAAAAGAGGTGCCAAGACACCACCCCCGGTGAATTCAGCTGCAAAGGCGAAGAGATGGCTGTGAGTCTGAAGAGAAATACTAAGAAAGTTTCACTTCAAGCTGAGGGGGTACAAGCCTTTGCCAAGGCTGAAACATTCTTCCAAGTCACCGGTGAACTTTAGCTCCTGTTTATGCTGAAAAGTCTCATCTTCATAGGAAACCCCATTTTTCAGACTTCAGAGTAGGGCAACATCTAGGTTACATTCTTTGTAACGATTGGGACTTTTTAGGAGGTTACAAAGATTGAACCTTGGAAGATGGGAAGGCGAAACAGCGGCTATGTACTTGTCTTGCGTTCTGATATGCTGCAGACTTAACGAAATGCAATGCAAGTGATTCGGGCGGTTGTGTGTACTTGTGTTGCATTCTGATATGCTGTAAACTTCTTAACGAAATGAATGCAAGTGATCCGGGCCTGGATGAGTTGTGATCGGGAGTAGGGAAAATAGCAGTGTCTCAAATTGTCATACATACTTCTGTACTTTTTTCATGATGCAATGTTCATTTCTTATCAGCCCCTGTTTCCATCCTGTTTCTATGATATGAAGCCCTATCAATAAACAAAAAATAGCGTCTGTTTTCAGTAGTTTGACACATGAGGTTCCAATAAACAGTAGTATCGCACAAAAGAAAAGTTAGGAGGTTCATCCGCTAGAGGGCAAAGAAAACAAAAGCACGAGAGAGATTCCAATGTCAGTAATGTCAATTTCTCCGGGGAAAAAATGTCACTTCCACTGTAGTACATTACGCAGGTACATAACCTTTGCTCAACTCTTGGCAATGCCTACCATCTACTGTCTATTTGTATTCTTCCTCACTCTAGTGTATTCATGTATACATCTTTCAACAGAATTGACTACCTTAGTACCTTCATCATGCTACCTTTAATTTTTCTGTTCTGAATTACTCCAGCACTTAAGACTGCAAACCAATCCGGAAAAAAGAAAATGATGGTCAGGTATGTGTATCCCTCTTCCTATGACGTTAGCCCTGTAACTTCCTTTGGTATCAGAAACAAAAATCCAACCGGTAGGAGAGTGCCAATCAGCTGTACACCTAAGCCGAGCGCCAGATTGTCGAATTGTGCTGATGAGATGCTTAAAGCTGACGCCAGAGCCGCTCCCAAGAATGAGCCTAAAGTCGAGCCAAAGTTGTTGATGGACATGAACAGAGCGAACAGTGTTCCCTCGATTCCAGGAGGGCAAAGCTGCCCAGAGAGGATGAGGAACGGCATCATCCTGACAAATGAGAATATTCTTTTCAGAAATTGTATTCTGATTTATATTTTTCATAAAAGGAGGGGCACAAGAATAACAGATGGAAATAAAGAGAGTCAGATGAGATTGTAATTTACAAAACTGAAGACAACAAACGGTAAACACCAATAGTGATGCCCATAATTGTATCACAAGCCCTAAATTGAAAGATTAATTTCACATGTTTGTTTTAGTGTTGACTTGGTAATAAAACAACAATATTTCGATGTGACTAAACCAGTACTAACTATTTATGGTAATAGGTGTGATCTTACTAGATAATAAAGAGCATTTTTCTCAATTTGAAGTAAAATGCACAGATGGAGGACAATTAATGATGAGGTCACAGTTAGTCATATGAAGTTCATGACCTGCCATTTTACTAATATGTTCATCTGAATATTATTAAGGTTATGTAATTTCTTATCCAGATATTGTGGAAATAGGCTAGTTTCAGAATGGTGCCTAACCAAAGCACAATAAGACCCAAGTCAAATAGCAGAAACCAATCTACAACTGGTTCTCGAAACACTGCAAGGGCTTGTTATCAATTAAGCAATAGATATTGTGATTAAAAAAATGGAGGCCAAAGTATATACTTGAACTGGTTAATTGCATCAGCCAAAGCAGAACCCCACAAGACCATGTATTTGTCTGTAATTCCATAGTGAACATGTAACCGCAACACCAAAAGAATGTCCAGTACGCCAATTATGGCAAGACCAACATGTGCAAACCTGCGGGATAAGAACAGCAAATGTTAAAAGTAATAAATATGAAGGCTTTAAGTAAGTAAAAACATATTTGTATTGTAGCTAATGGCTCATAAAGAATTATATATGCATTTTGTAACAGGATAAAAGATCATACAGCATGTGCACACGTAGTTGTTAACTGGGCCAAAGCACAGAACAAAAGGTAACTGACAATGGCATAATGTATCCCTCATGAATTCTGATGCTCACGCAAATGGAAATAATCCAGCATGCATTCTGTTTTCATATGTTTAGTGCACCTTAAACACTTCTCTCTCCTGGGGTTATTTAAGGTGCACATTGGGCTTGTTTGGTTCAATACCCTACCAAAATGTTGGTAGTGCCAAAACCTAGGCAAGTTTTGGTACTACCAATTTTTTGGTAGGGTAGAGTTGTATTTGGTTTGAGGCCAATTTAGAACCAAGCATTGAGTAGAATATAGAAAATATCAAATTGGGCATTGGCAATGCCAATGATTTGGCTTCAAACCAAAATCACCAGATACACTGTTCAAACTACCAAAGTATTGGTAGGGCACGTTTTTGGCACTAATCCAAAACAGCCCATTGTTTGGAGAAAGCAAACAAAGAGGGTATCAGATTTTAGGGAGGAGGTTGGTAATTCTTCCTTCGATAAACTTAGCAAATTATCCAATAGCAATTCTCAGTGAGTACACTAAGCATATATATGTCAACATTTCAACTTCCTAACACGTGCCAGTAATGCATATGGTTTTGCATTTATATAAAAAATAACTTACATGAGAATATTCCTGAGTTTCTTGTGTTTAAAATAGCGGTTGTAGATATATGTGCCAAGCATTAGACTGAACCACCCAATTACACGTGCAGTCCCCAGAAAGGATGCCTCCAAATGTAGGACCTCTGTTTGATAGTAGAACATGACTGTTGAGATATTTGGAATTGCTACATTCGAAAAGAAAAACCACGCCATAGGTCTGGCAGGTAAAAAGAAGATATCAATTAGTCTCTTCAGTGACAGGGGTAAACATAAGAGGAAATGAAATCATAACATGATTAGTTACCGTAAAATAGTTGGTTGTTTGAATGCTGTGCATAAACTGAAGAATGCTGATTTCAGAGACAAGTATGGCCTTAAGTTAGTTGACTTGTTCTTGTCATGGTCCTCAGGTCGTTTGGACAATGATTTCCTTTTATTATTTCTCCTAGCTCCTTTTCGCCTTCTAGTATCTTCATATTTATATGATTCACTAGAGCTTTTTCCGGGAGAAGCATCAATAGTTTGATCCTCGACATGTTTAGGTGCAGCATTATCCATTCTACTCTCAAATCCTTTTGGAGATTCCTCAACAAATATGCAGGAAATTAGTTGAAACAATGGAAGCGCCGAGAAAATAATATATATAACATGTATAGGGAGATTGGACAGTGCATATCCCCCCAATAAGCTCCCAAAAATCCCCCCTACTGCCATTGATGACCAAGATAGTGACTGGAGATCACCAGCAAATTCTGGCCTGGAAAAATATAGTCAAGTTTTGAGTTCAGATAATCTGTAATCATATAGTAGTTGCTAACCAGTGAAAATATTACACTAAGATACTCACCCAGCTGATCGAACTGCTTCTGCAATCATTGCATCTATAACAACATCTGCCATGGCAGATCCCAAGTTCTGTACTATCAGCAAAGCAGTAAGAAAATTGCTTGAGCTCCTCAAAGGTTCTGACATCCCAAGGATTAGCCACGGAAATAGAGATAGACAGCTAGAAATGATCAAATAGGGCGTACGCTTCCTCTGCTTGATGGGAATACAGTCTGACAAAATCCTGCAGGCACAAAGATGCATGTGTAAGTAACGGATCGCGCTCCTCTGACGTAAAGTTAGAGGGACGTGGGTCACTGATGTGTGGGCCCAACCTTTGTGGGTCCCACATGTCAGTGACAAAGTCCCTCTGACGTAGTCAGAGGAGACTCATCCGGAAGTAACGAGTATCTGGATTTTGTACAGTACAATCTGAAACTCATTATAGTTATACACAAACGCATATAGATGTTTTACAGTAATGGGCAGCCAGTGCTCAGAAGCCGACAAGCCGTGCAATTCAACATAGAAGAAATTTCTAAGACCTGTGATTTTAATGTTACACAGGACTATCTGTTACATAATGCCATAATGCACAGCTCCACAGCAAGTATGCAGCAAACATTTGAGTGGGTATAAATGCATGAGGAAAACTAAGCGATCCAACAGAAAAAAATACCCATCGATGTTGGAGTGCTTGCAGCACTTCCTTTTGCCTTTTCACATTTACTGTCGGGTCTCCAAATGCAGTGCACATATTAATCCATTTTCCACTAAAGTAAAATAATTTCCAAAATTAGTTGATATATACCCTATTCAGAAACATCCTTTAGAATTAATCGTGTTAATCTGTGTGAAGGCAGTAAATATAAAATTGACAAATTGTTTAGCTCTTATGCTACAAAAGAATATTTATAATTGTCATAATTGACAAATTGTCCGAAGGCAGTAAGTAATAATTGTTGCTTGCTCAGGAAATATTGAGCACCCATCTGTTTGTAAGCAACTACACTTTAATCACTTGCAATAGAGATAAGCCACAGTAAACATGTCAGGGAAACTCTGTTGTTGTAAGAAGTATAATTACATGTAAGATTTCTGAAACTAAGGTGTAACTGTGTAAGGCACATGATGTTTGAAACAGTACATTACAAAAACTACTCTGTAGCAAAAAAAACATAATTAGGTTGTAGGGAACATGATTAAATTTCAGTTCACAGCAGAAGCAAACAGAAGTAACATTACCCATATACAGGCTTTATACTCCAAGGGAAATATGCAACTGAGACCAAAAACTGTGATGTTGATGGTGACAGTTTCATCATGTCCTTCATTTGGTACGAGACAGCTGTCCAGACAAAAGACCTGAAACCCTAAAGAATTGCAGAATAAATATTAAAATCTATCAAAGTAAAAGGTGTAGTGCTTTGTTAAGCTTTCAACTAATGGCGAAAATAAGCTTCGGTAAACCAAAACTGCCTTCTTTATATTTAGTTAGCTCTACTACAAAATACAGTTTATCTTGAAGAGTTCTGATTGAGACAAGGAATTTACAACTAATTGAACATGCTAACATTTGACATATCACCAAAGCATGGCACATGAGCTCACAACACAAATAAACAAATTTGGTCCCCATCCCATTGCATGTCATGCTAAGACATATGACATACCACCAATCCTTGCTATAATTGTGAAATTATCACACTAGGCTGTTTTCAGACATTACAGTCCGAAGCTGAACTCGTATAGCATTCCATAGTTTCACAAATCTGAGATTCTCCATCAACATTAAGCTCTTTTTAGAGAAACTTTCACTACCTAAGTCTGCACACCAACCAACCAGTTAAATCTAGTATGAAACATATTGAGTCATCTATCATAGAAATAACTCTACCCTCCTAATGCCCTAAATGAGTTCCAATCCTTACAACGGATCACAAATGAACTACCTTCGATTTCATATTTAAAAGAAAAATGTGTTCATGCAGCCATCAGACCTCCAATTCTTAAAATGAATGACATAATTACTTATTTAGGCAAACCCAAGACACAAGAAGCAATCCATAATATCATCCTACACAGAGAGCACGATTTGACCTGGCAAAAACAATCCAAGATTGCCTTACAAAAGCGAAGGAAGCAAAAGGACCATGTAATCATCCGAACCCAAATTCCTATAAGCACTCCTCGATCTCTATACAGACAGCGACCAGTTCGGCCTCTTGCACACGGATGTACCACACTACCACATGTCGATCTCAAACTCGTCTGGCATCTCGCCTCCGCTCCGCGTTTGCTGATGGATCCAAACGCGAGGTTTTCGGACAGCTGTCGTCACTCCTCCCAGGAAGCCGCGTAACTCTTATCTAACGAACGATCGAACGAACGGAGAGCGTTCCAAAAGAATCGGGGATCAATCGCGTCGCAGGAAATGGTGGGCGCGGAGAGGGGGAGGGGGAAGCGGAACCTGGATGAAGTAGATCAGGCAGACGAGCCACAGGAACGGCGCCCCGAACGCCGCCGCCATCCGCCCCGCCCACGGCGAGGAGGAGGACGAAGCCGCCGCCGCCGCCATGGCGGAAACGGGCGGGACGGGGTCCCCTCCCAGGAGAACGCCTCCTCCTCCTCCTCCTCTTCCTCAGCTGCTCGTCGCAGTGGATTCTAGGGTTCGGGTGGATCAGGAGGTGGAAGCTAGAGAGAGAGAGAGAGAGAGAGATCTCGTGCTCGTCGTCTCCTCGGCATGAGGAGGAGAGGAGACACGCGGCGTGAGCTCGATGGCGCTGACCGGGTGACGTGTCCGTTGACTGGCCCGTTTTGCCTTGGTTGGCAGTTGGCTCAGTGTTTTGGACCGTTCGGTTAACCGATTCATGGTTAATCGAACCATGAATGGGTAAGAATTGACCGTTCAATTAGAAATGGTTATTTTTCTTTGAGGAAATTTCACTTTGGGTCACCTTTTATTACCGGTATTTCACTTTGGGTCACCTTTCAACTAACATTTTCACATTAGACTGGGTAATCTTACATTTGTTTCACTTTGGACCACCCCGATTCTCTTCTCAAGTATATGAACGACCTCGAGTATGCCAGATCCTATTTGTCAATAAACCTCTTTAGCTGTATTTAGACCGTTTCTTTAACATATGAAAAATTGGATGTAGATGAATAAGAGAGTTGAGGGTAGTCCAAAGTGATACAATGGTAAACTTAACCGGTCCAATTTGAAAACATTTGTTGAAGGGTGGTCCAAAGCGAAACACCGGTAATAAAAAGTGGCCCAAAGTAAAAATTACTCTTTTTCTTTTATTTTTTCCTCTTCGGTAAGAATTGCCGCGTTGCAAGAGCACTGGTAGTGTTTAGGGTTTTTTTTTTTTTACAAATTTTGCTATATGACACTTGAGACTCAATTGAAGAATTTTTTTAAAAAGATAAGAATGCTCTAAGAGCCAAAAGTTTCAAACATGAGGCTAGAGTAAAGTTGGAATATGATATATGCTAGCAATGTACTTAGGATACTTTAGACTTGTATAATTTCTAAGTTTTCACTCCAATACCATGTAAGAAGCCTATGGCTCAATGGGTATTATCGTCTGAAGAATTTTTTTACTTTAATTGAGCCGAAAGTATCTTCCAGCAAATTGGTAATTTGTAAGGTGTCTTTTTAGCTATGATACTTTTTTAATGTTTACAAGCAAATTACACAAATTTAAGTGTCCTAAGCAATCTCATTTTTAAGGAATGGAACAATGAATGGTCACATTTTTTACTCCTAATTTAACAAAAAAACTTATATATATGAAACAGTGATCACAGAATCATTAAGATACCCACTCATTTATAACTATCTAGTGACGAGACAGTACAATCTTTTTCCTTTCCTTCTGGTAAATGGGATGATCATTGTATATTTGTACTGTTCAGGTTGAGAGTAATGCCGAAATTGCTATTTTGTGCAGGTGCGTTTGCACATGCACTTTTTAATAAAAGTTTTCAAATTTTAAGTTGAAAATTTTGTAATCCAAGATAAAAGTTTTGAGGCCTTAAAAATGATTTGAGAAGAAAGTTTCGTATGAAAGTGCTATTGGAAAGGAAAATAAATGTGCACTGATAATACACGTGCGCTAATTAGCAAACCCAGAGTAATGTTTGTCAATCTTATTTTCTTTTTTTTAACCGATTGTAATTTCCTATCCAAGCAACTAGTCCTACCTTTTTTTTCAGGATTTTCACGTGCATACCAAATCATATTTTCTTTAGTTCAACCACAAGTCTGCTAAGATGATGTGATTTTGACGGGAAGTTTGTTTAGATGAACAAGCAACAAAAGCTCAAGACAAGCCCCATTTCCCATTCTTCAAATCGAAAAGAGCAGGATGCAGGATGCAGGATGCTATAACCTGAAGAACAAAAATGAAAAGTCGACGATGATAAGGAGATGCAGGGTGCACATCACCGTGCTGTCGATCGCTCGTGCAGAGAACATTTTTACCAGCAAAAAAGGCATTTCAGAGATCTTCTTGTCAGCAAATGCGGCAACTTTCTGGTAATCCAACGAGTGTCAGGGCGGTCTGAATCTGATCCGGTAGCAGAAGGGTCAGGACTCAGGGGAGACCAGAGAGGAATCAGAGGAAGCTTTCGCCTTACGCGTTCTTGTTTAATTACCCAATTATTAGTTCAATCCGCACACTATTGCCGTGTCTTGACGGCATTAGAAATTGGGACCACCTATACATTTGTCGACAAATTTTCTACTAAAAATTTGACAGATGTAATTATAGTACAATCGTAGTGTAATTACAATGTAACTTGTATGTAATTACACTGTAACTTGCATGTAACTACAGTGTAACTTGTATGTAAGTTTCACGTAATTTTGAATCGTTAGATCTATTACAAGATTTGTTCTATGGAGGAAGAAAAAAATCACATCACACACATATATGAAAGAATTTGTTCCCACGACCTCTATTTTACTGAAATAACATGTTACCGAGAGATTCTTGAAAGTTACATACAAGTTACATTATAGTTACAGTGTAATTACATGCAAGTTACAGTATAATTACACTACGATTGTACTGTAATTACATCTGACAAATATTAGGGGGAGAAATTTGATGACAAATATCTAGCAAAATCGTTAGAAATTTAATAACAGTAAATCCATTTTGCGAAAGTGCAGTAGCTGCAGTGTGGTTAGCACTGTGCGATTCTTTCCCCGCAATGACCAAATTGGCTATCATGGATTGCTTCTTTGTTCTTGGTCATCCAGATTTGCGATAAGCAAAGTACGAACTGTTCATACATCGATTTGGTATTTAATCGAGTCTCGAATTGCTGGTGCTATAGCTACATAGGCATTTCTTTTTCAGATTCTGTCAATCAATTTGCATGTTTTTGTACCTTATCTTACGAAGAAATCGTCCTGACAAGTGGATAGTATGGGAGATTGGGAGATAATACCTATTTTGAGAGAATTCACATTTTTTTCTCTCCAATTCTTCGCAAGCAAAAAAAAAAAAAGAGAGAACATATAATCCCTGATTAACACAGGGCAAAACACACTAATCCCCAATCACAGCATAATACTACTAATCAAGATGAAACAGGAAATCAGGAATCCCCAACATGATTTGGAAATCAGGAGGAGAAAAACATTTCAAGAATCAAGGAGAAAAAAACAAGAGAGGAGCAGAGCAGCATTACTTATACAAGTATCAAGAATTTACAAATCATCATCGTCATCATCATCATCATCAGCAGCAGCAGCAGCAGCAGCATTATCAGCAGCATCAATCATCGCAATTACCCTCCTCAAATCCCAAACCCTCTCGCAATAATAATCCACTAATTAATCGCCCTTATTTTTTCCCCGAGCCGTTCCAATTTCCGAGCCATCGAATCGAATCCAGCATCATCGATCGTGTGATGAACTCACGATTGACCACGAAACCCTCACCTCTCCATCTCGGTCTCGTCGGCGGCGGCCTCCGCCTGCTGCGGAGTTGACGAGGAGAGCTGCGCGGCGGCGAGCGCGTCGGCGAGGGCGCGCATGGCCTTGACCTGCATCTCCAGCGCGGCCACGTAGTCGGCCGTCTCCTCGAGCAGCGCCGGCGCGGGGAGCTTCCGGCATCCGGGGACGAGGCGGCCCAGCACGCGGAGGCGCTCCTTCACCTTCCTCTCCTTCAGCATCGGGGGCTCGCCGGCGGAGGAGGCGGCCGCGGCCGCCTTAGCCGCCGCCGCCGCCGCGGCGCGCGCCTGCGGGCGGCGGCAGCTGTTGCCACCGCCGCCGCGGCGGATCTTCCCGCCGGCCTTGACGAGCACGCGGCGCCTGGACGACGCCGCGCCGGCCAGCAGGATGGCGCGGCTCCACCTCGACTGCCCCCGCGCGGTGAGCGCCAGCGCCGAGTCCGCCGCGGCCTTCACCGCCCGCGGCTGCGGCGGCGCGCCCCCGCCCCCGCCTGCAGCCCCGTCCCGCGTGGCCCGCAGCGCGTCGAGCAGGCGCCGCCCGTAGATCCTCTCCTGCGCGCCGCTCCTCCACTTGGTCCTCGTCGCCGCCGCCGCCGCGGCGCCCGCACCCGCACCCGCCTTCCCCCGCACCTTCGCCATGCCCGCCACCCTCACCCCCGACGACGACGCAGAAGACGACGCCGCCGACGACGAGCCGCTGCCTGTAGAGATCATCACGCCCACCTCCACCTCCGATTACCACCAATCAGGCGGCGGCGGCGGTGGTGGTGGTGGGAAGAGGAGGAGAGGGAAAGGAGAAGAGAGAGAGAGAGAGAGAGAGAGAGAGAGGTAAGCTTTTCTTTTGTGGCGTAGTTGGGGTTGGGTGTACTTATTTGGTGCGGGGGGTGGTGGTGATTAGCGGAGTGGATTAGACATGGGGAGTGGTGTCGTGGTGAGGTGGTGGTGGTGGTGGTGGTGTTCGCCTCGCCTTTTGATCGTTCGGTTTGGTGTGGAATTTGGCGGTGAGGTGAGACGAGCGAGGTATGAGTCGCGCCTCGCGGTAGGCAGAGGGCAGGCGAGGCGCTGTCGCGGTTGAGTGCGCGCGGCTGCTTTGGTGTTGTACTATTTCACGCCTGGCCTTCCGCCACCGAAGTGTTCGGGGGAATTTGCAGTTGAGTACCTACACTTTGGTTCAATGGGGTGGCTACACTTTAGAAGTTGTAACAATCCTATCATTTATTTTTATGTTTTACTAGAAAAAAATACCCGTGCGTTGCAACAGGTAAAGTCTATTTTAGTCTTATTATTATTATATGGTTTACTTAAGATGAAATTCACTGTGGGAGTTTGCTTGGATATATATATTTTTAGAAAATCATGAACTGCAGTTAGGAGTCCGATCGTCTCAAGTTAGTATGCAAGTTTTTTTAAACAGATTTCTTATATGATTCCTTCTGTATTATAAAAAGCAAGTGATCTTAAAAGTTTTTTTTTCTTATTTCAAAAGTTTGGTAAAATATTATGTTGAGGATTAGTGTGGAATGGAATATGATTTTTCTTTGAGTTGTTTAGTGGGGTGAGATGGAGACATGTGAACAGGGTGGGGGCCCACTCGCCGGGGATGGGCCGGCTAGCCTCATGTGTATTCATGTGATTCCCCTCCTAAGGTTTTTGATGGGGGCCCTTCTTTATCTTGTGCTCTCCATTAATTTAATGCTTAACACACTGCTACTAATTTAATCGCCATTGCAAGATTGCTTTCTTGATTGTTTTTTTTTTTTTGTGTTTGTGGTTTCCATGTGCGCCTCCTCTTGCGAATGAGCTTGTCTCCAAGCTTTGCTTTCTGGAGAGGACTCCGTGACACCATCTTGGCTGTCATGTCTTCCCTTTCTGCTTATTGTTGATAAGTAAAATGGCCCTACATTGATCTATTGAAAATTAGATTGGTCCTACTAGTACCAGTTAATTAGCTATTTGGGTGATTGATTAACATATAGACCCTATTAGCAAATAATTCTAACCTCATTTATATAGGGAAATGGGCCACCGTAACTCATTCACATACCAATTGAATCATATCGGTATGTATAACATAGTTTGCTAGCACACGTAGGTTAATTTGTCTATTGGGAAAGCTAAAAAGGTCTGAGAAAGAGATGGTAGGTGTTGTTTTGTAGAAATTCCTCTGGAAGAGATGACATTATGGCTTCATCTAACAACAACGTCGTTAAAGTCGGTGACTACTGACTAACATCATGAGCAGGGAGAAAATTAATTTAATTAATCAAGTTCTCTAAACTTTTATTCTTTGTGTCCAAGTTAAGAAACAGATGAGAAAAAACAGAATAGTGGCTTGCTCATTATTTTTCTCTTAGTGGACAAACAACTGGAAAACAGAGCCCAATGATCATCACTATTTCTGTTTAATTTAATCCCCCCCTTATCTAGTTAACATGACTTGTCAATCATCTTTTATTTATTCCCTTTCTAACTAAAAAAAAACACTGACCAAATCATCCTGACAACGTCGGAATAATTGGTTTTGAGCTTTATACATCAAGGGAACTATTTGCTCTGTATCTGATACAGATAAACGTGTGGTTCTTCTGAACTTAGCACAGCAGTTGAGTACGTATAGCAGTAAGTAAGCAGCTAATTGGAATGTTTGGGATGGGAATTGCAGTGATCAGCTCTTTTGGTCCTCTTGTCGCTGCATCATTATTACTACAGATGTTGTTGATTAATGACACGTTGATGTCTTGATGACCAAGATAATTATTATCATGAACATATGTACATGTAATGTAAGCTAATGTTAGTAGATAGCAAGTGCGAGCACGTTGGATCCGGCCGGCAGGTCACATGTCGTCGCTACCGATCTATCAAAATCCGGAAAAGGGGAAAAGAAGAGGCTTTCCCTTTTTCTCCTTCTTGTTATCATTCCACTGTGGAGGATTCGTGCGTGGTTGCTGTCACATTCACATACTCACATGGTCAGAAGGACTAGAGTTCTCGGCAATTAGGAAAATTGCAAAACCCCACCAGAAAGTGCACTGGATTTTGGTATACTCGTGTGACTATATTTTATAGTGGTTAATTCTGCGGTTTCAATCCACATATACTTTATGTTTGTTTAAAATTCTATAAATATAGTAAATGTTTCACAAACATTATACTAACGGCCTAACATAAATACTGTGACCTCGTTATATTCTATCATCATCATTTGTTTTGCTACCCGCTACACTAACTCTTTTGTTCTTAAAATAATCCATTAAACTTAGCTCTTTCCTTATTCTTTATGGTTTTCTCCTATATGCATCCCTTACCTAGACTATGATCGTCAAATCAACTAAATTTCCCTTTAAAAAATCAACTAAATGCCCATCAGACTAAAAATGGTTAATTGTAAATTTGTCACTGGTTTGAATCGTTAATGCAACATTGCCACTATTTTTTTTAAAAAAGAAATCACTAGAACTGTCATTGAGTGACAACATTACAAAATTAAAAAACTAGTGGTAAATTTGTAAATGTGACAAATAAATATGATAATCCGTCCTTCACTCTTTAAAACAACGTCTATAGAGGCTTATCTACGCACAACGTCCATAGAGCCTTATCTACGCCAAAAGACCGGGAGTACAGGGGGTTTCCGAACCGGGAGTAAAGACCTTTTCTCTACTAGCATTATGGCAAAAGGCACGAGCCCATAGAGCTAGCTTAGCTGTACTCGATTGATAAGTGATCATCCAAGTAGTGGTGATCAATGGCGGTGGTGGTGGTGCAGCATGGGGTAGAGGGGAGGAGAGTGGGTGGGCCGGTGGAGCACCCAACCATGCATGCATATATGCTGCATTAATTCATGGTTTCTGTGTAGGCACGTCGTGGTGCGGCTAGCAATTTTGCAGGTTTGAGCGAGCGGTCGTCACAGAGAGATTCATGGGTGCGAAACACGATTGATCGAGGTGGGAGTGGGACTTGATTTGGGAGCTAGCTAGAGCTATACGGCGCGCTAGACATCCATATGTGCATGTGGTCACCACATCGTCATTGATTGATTGTATGCATTATTTAGTTTGCAATGTATCTGTAGCTAGCCGGCTAGCTACGAGAGCTAGCTAGATTGGTATAGTGGCCGGCTCATGCTAGCTAGGAGGACGATTTTGTTTAAGAGGGAATAATAATGAAATGTTGGTGGTGCTAGCTAGGTGTGGAGCTTGATTAAGCACTAGCAGCTTGAGATTATTTTTTTTGACGGGTTATCGGGAGCGAAATGCACACTTGAATATATTATGTCAAAGGGTATTACACAGGGTGAAATTTTGACCGATGTGCAAAACAAACTTGTGATGTAATATAGCTAGCTCTTTAATCTATCAATATACCTGCAATTTTGTTATATAGTACGAGCTTAGCTAAATTTCTTTTCTTTAAGGAGGTACCATATTTATAGTTTTAATCGTGTACAACCTTCTAATAACTCTTCAAGCCCTAGAAAAATATTGAGATACATATGCTTTAGCTTAAGCTATTGTTGATAAGGACTAGCTAGATCGAGGAGTATGCATGAGCAAGAATAAACAGTAGCGGAGCCAACAGTGTTATCGAACCTAAATGACTATTAATGTTTCCCAATCATCGATTGATTTTGTTAGATGCTAACAACCGTGGGTGAAGTTAGTACCACGAAGTTCGGGTGGTCACACAAACCTACCCCGGAGCTAGCTCCATTGTTCGAAGTAAAATATATACAGAAAAGCTATTAGTATCTCGCAATTCATATTTTCATCACCGTTGAGTCTAATATTGGGCCATGTTAGTCGAGCACTTTATACAGTATTATGTAAATCAATATTAAGGTTTTTTTAACCTATATAACATTCATGTGACGTACGTAGTCTCTCTTTCCTCTCCCATGCATAGTTGTATAACCACTTGGCCTCCCTCCATTCCAGGCAATTCTCTCCATGCAACTACTACTGCAATCTGCCTCCAACCGTGCTCAGGAGTCATCGCCAGCATCCATCCTCTTGACCTTGTGAACCTAGATATGGATATCACTATGCCGCGTTGCAAAGCTTGGAATGCCATGCATATTCAGGTGACGTACGTTGTGTCTCAGAGTAGGTGCCTGTACCATGCAGTCCATGCATATTTTGGTGATATGATGAGTACCATAGTCGGCATTAGGAGCCAACACGAACTAGGCTGGGACCCAAAAATTTAGAACACTAGTTTTTTTTTTTTTAAAAAAAAAGTCGTTTTGATACGACTTTTCTATTTTTTTCACTTTTCTTTTTGGCTTCAAACAGTTTTGTCTATGTAACTTAATTTCATGGATTTCTCAATTTCTTGGTATTTATAGTTTGAATATCGATATACTTATTTTATTTACGATTTTCTGGCTTTTAAAGTGGCCAAGAGGACAAGGGGACCCTATAATTAATGAATACTCTCTCCACTAAAAATATATTCCCTCCGTCCCATAATATAAGTGATACTGGAAGGGATACGTCTCTTTCTAGGATTACGAATCTAGATAGGCTTCATGTTCTGAATCATAGTCCTAGGAAATGTCATATCTCTCTAAAATCCTTTATATTATTATGGGATAGAGGGAGTATGATATAGTAGTTGTGTTCTAAGGGAGGTGAAAGTGAGTTTGTTTATTTCGTTTTCCAGGCGCACTCTTTCTAAACTACTAAACGGCGTGTTTTTTTTAAAAAAAATTTCTATATGAAATTTGCTTTCAAAAATCATATTAATGTATTTTTGAAGTTTAAAAATAGTTAATACTCAATTAATCATGCGCTAATGGCTCACCTCGTTTTGTGTATCTTCTCAATCTTCTCTATTCCTCTCCTCTCAATCTTCTAACGTACGTCAAATAATTTTGACTGGAGGCCAGGTGTGCAATACGTTTTTATCCTATATTGTTGCATATCTTAGTTTTCTTTTTGTTTCATATAGCTATGCATATATAGAGAGAAGGAGAGAATACATATATATATATATATATATATATATATATATATATATATATATATATATATATATATATATATATATATATATATATATATATATATGTATATGTATATATAT